ATTGACCTTTAGAGTGTCAAATCTTGCCTTTTCACTTTTGCTTATTTATTAATCTATCAAAGAAAACTAAAGTGAAGAAAATGGAAACATATGCTGTTTAATGCTAATGATCCGATGTTTCTATGTTGCTTAGGGATCAATACATCATTTGTTTGCAGTATGTAGATGTTACCTTTATCATTTCCAGTGAATGCCCCCCTGAAGGTGCCCCCTCCAGCAGCCTCCCCGTCTGGGATCTCCTCCAGGTTGATCAGGGCATTGGGCAGAGGTTGTCTGTACACATTGAACACCTGACCTCCGTCCTTGTCCTCCCCCGGTCTGGAAAGCACCAACGCCAACTCAAACAGGAAGACATGCAGCCGCTGCCAAAGAAGACAGATGTTTGAAGTGTATTTATCAATACACAGAGAGACATTAAGAAGAGCCAAGAAAAAAAGTAATCTATCATTCAGATCTAACAGTGAAAGTGTTGGCAGGAACACCATAACAAATATGTTAACGCTAGGGCAAAGAGGTGCAAAGATGTGTAAATGTAGGGATTCACTCTGTCTTGGAATCCAAACAGCTACAGGGTGCAGTTACCTGGCCCTTGTTGTTCTTCAGCTCTCCGTGGCAGTACAGGAAGCGGGACAGCTGGATCTCTGGTAGTCTCTGACTCTCATCCAGGTAGCTGAGACCTCGCCTGTAGAACTGACACTCGGCCTCTCCCGTCTTCTTGTTCACCTCCCCCACAATGCTCTGGATTAACTCCAACTGAACACAACAAAGAGTGATGTAGATTTCATGTATTTTATAATTTCATCATTTGATTGATCAAGAAAGAAATGTCCTATGAATTGTGCCAAGGGTAAATAAACATGCACTATGTTTTAACATTTGGAATCCTGATTCTTATATGAGCCATTATTGCCCACGAGTCGACAACTGAAAGCACCTTCAATATAAAACTGTCATCTGAACTGACAGCTATTAGAAGAAACGATGAACCAGCCAAACTGGCAGACATAATGACCTTGTTATTTTCATATTACTGATGACATATCACAGGATTACTGGCCCCTGCAGTCTCATCTAACAACATTTGTAGCTGCCAATTGGAAGCAGTTCAGTGTGAAGTACTTTAGATTTGTAAAACAGAGCGTTAGCGAAATTGCTTGCAGACTGATGGATTTCACAATAAAGGAATATTAGAAGGTGAATATGAAGGTGTGAACTAAGTGTATGGTATTTATTTGGTATAGATTGGTATTTGATAATGCATACATATATTTTTTAGATCAAGACATAAATAATTTTGACATTTGAATATTTACATAAATTTATTTACATAAATTTTTTATTGTAGAGTGAGCGTGACAGGAAATGTGAGGAGAGAAAGTACAGGGTGATATGTACCAAAAGGTGTCAGGACAGGGAATTGAACCTACAACCAGCACAACCAGCACGATGAGGACGGCAGCCTCTGTACTCTGTGAACCTGCTCTACCAACTAAACCAAACCAGCGCCCCATATGTGTGATGTGCTGATATTCAGATAGACACGTTTCTATTTTTGTGCTTCTAAAAAATCTGACAAGCTATAAGATTTGAAAATAAAGCAAAAGGGAGCAATAAATAAAAGTTTTCTGTGTATTCAAACCTCCATATATTGGAAATTGATTGAGATTGCTACGGTATGTAAACCAGCAGACCCTGCATCTTTGCTAAACTGCCAGTGTAGAGAAGGACAGGAGTAAGAATGATAAGGTTCAAATTGCCTGTTCATCATTAATTCACAATTCTGTGTTTTTTAACCTGGAGTAGATGTTTTTTTATACATGTGTATGTGTGAACACAAACTTACAGCATCAGGTAATGTGTCCTCGTCCGGGTGATCTGGAGGTGTGCACTTCTGGATCTGCTGGTTTACATACCGTAGCAATCTCAATCAATTTCCAATATATGGAGGTTTGAATACACAGAAAACTTTTATTTATTGCTCCCTTTTGCTTTATTTTCAAATCTTATAGCTTGTCAGATTTTTTAGAAGCACAAAAATAGAAACGTGTCTATCTGAATATCAGCACATCACACATATGGGGCGCTGGTTTGGTTTAGTTGGTAGAGCAGGTTCACAGAGTACAGAGGCTGCCGTCCTCATCGTGCTGGTTGTGCTGGTTGTAGGTTCAATTCCCTGTCCTGACACCTTTTGGTACATATCACCCTGTACTTTCTCTCCTCACATTTCCTGTCACGCTCACTCTACAATAAAAAATTTATGTAAATAAATTTATGTAAATATTCAAATGTCAAAATTATTTATGTCTTGATCTAAAAAATATATGTATGCATTATCAAATACCAATCTATACCAAATAAATACCATACACTTAGTTCACACCTTCATATTCACCTTCTAATATTCCTTTATTGTGAAATCCATCAGTCTGCAAGCAATTTCGCTAACGCTCTGTTTTACAAATCTAAAGTACTTCACACTGAACTGCTTCCAATTGGCAGCTACAAATGTTGTTAGATGAGACTGCAGGGGCCAGTAATCCTGTGATATGTCATCAGTAATATGAAAATAACAAGGTCATTATGTCTGCCAGTTTGGCTGGTTCATCGTTTCTTCTAATAGCTGTCAGTTCAGATGACAGTTTTATATTGAAGGTGCTTTCAGTTGTCGACTCGTGGGCAATAATGGCTCATATAAGAATCAGGATTCCAAATGTTAAAACATAGTGCATGTTTATTTACCCTTGGCACAATTCATAGGACATTTCTTTCTTGATCAATCAAATGATGAAATTATAAAATACATGAAATCTACATCACTCTTTGTTGTGTTCAGTTGGAGTTAATCCAGAGCATTGTGGGGGAGGTGAACAAGAAGACGGGAGAGGCCGAGTGTCAGTTCTACAGGCGAGGTCTCAGCTACCTGGATGAGAGTCAGAGACTACCAGAGATCCAGCTGTCCCGCTTCCTGTACTGCCACGGAGAGCTGAAGAACAACAAGGGCCAGGTAACTGCACCCTGTAGCTGTTTGGATTCCAAGACAGAGTGAATCCCTACATTTACACATCTTTGCACCTCTTTGCCCTAGCGTTAACATATTTGTTATGGTGTTCCTGCCAACACTTTCACTGTTAGATCTGAATGATAGATTACTTTTTTCTTGGCTCTTCTTAATGTCTCTCTGTGTATTGATAAATACACTTCAAACATCTGTCTTCTTTGGCAGCGGCTGCATGTCTTCCTGTTTGAGTTGGCGTTGGTGCTTTCCAGACCGGGGGAGGACAAGGACGGAGGTCAGGTGTTCAATGTGTACAGACAACCTCTGCCCAATGCCCTGATCAACCTGGAGGAGATCCCAGACGGGAGGCTGCTGGAGGGGGCACCTTCAGGGGGCATTCACTGGAAATGATAAAGGTAACATCTACATACTGCAAACAAATGATGTATTGATCCCTAAGCAACATAGAAACATCGGATCATTAGCATTAAACAGCATATGTTTCCATTTTCTTCACTTTAGTTTTCTTTGATAGATTAATAAATAAGCAAAAGTGAAAAAGGCAAGATTTGACACTCTAAAGGTCAATTTGTCAAACGGTTTGATTGTT